AGATAGATAGATAGATAGATAGATAGATAGATAGATAGATAGATAGATAGATAGATAGATAGATAGATAGATAGATAGATAGATAGATAGATCTCTCTGTTGGGCTCAGCAATAGATTTACTGGAAATTACGTCATCTGGTGGTGATTTTGAGGAAGTGCACCAACACCCTGAAATTCGAACTATAGCACTTATCTTTTGTCAAACCATCCTGTGCTTGCAAGTTCCAAATGCAGCACACTTCCACATTTTAAAACTATGGAAATTTGGCAGAGAACCACAGATTGTGTTTAGGAATACTCACTAGCCAAAATAATTTAAGCCCTTGAATTAATTCATGTCTGCAGTTACCACAATTATAGTTGGTGAATTCAGATGAGAGGAAAAAAGGGCAGTCCTTGGTACAACTTACAATAATAGTTCAAATTTAATATTAAATAGGTTGTGAAATGCACAGGATGAGTCTCCAGGTTAGATTTATATGATGGGCAAGTTCAGAAAAAGTTAGTTAATTTTGTGTATGTCATACACGTGTTAATTTTCACTGATTCTTCTTAGTGTATCTTCCAGTTTGGAAGTCTCGTGACTTCACAAATGAACACACTGAAGGAATTTCATGAGGCAGCCGGTGACATGTCGAGGCCAAGAAGAATGTTTTTAGTTCTTTCCTTTTCTATCCAGCCATTCTTTAAATGGAGGAGAATCTGCACGTGGCCTACAGGTCTGACTAAACATAAGTGTGATGCCTTATGTGTGATGATTATTTAAGGGAACAAAGATGTGAGACTTATTGACTGAGGATGCAACCTTAAAGAGCCTCACATCTCTGTTGTTTTCATTTAATGTGATCACCATAATCTTTAAAGTGAAATACAAACGACGTGTGACTTACTTTTGTGTACTTTGTGCTTTCCTGATGAGTGTGTTATTTTTGGACAGGAGATCCTTCGGAGCTGGAATGCGTTTTATTACCTGTTGTGTTGAGCTAACAATAAAACTTCACAGAGAACATTTTGTTCTTTATTGAAAGATGGAAACCTTTAAGCAATCTTTCTTTAAACTACACACATTTTGACCATCAGACAAATATTTTACAGTTTAAGTTTATTGGTTTCATTACAGAAGTAGAAAACAATAGCAGTTAAAATTGGACGGGACACAAAAGTCAAACCGACTACTGAGTCATACTCCCACCGGCAAACATCCTCTTTTCTCGTCTTGAATCATCCGGGGCAGGGCTGACCAGAGCAGTTCTTCAGCTGGCAGCTTTAGCATGTGTACACCAACATAAAGCTTGCCAGTGAAGAACTGCTGTGTGTCAGCCATTTGAGGCCACGGGCGAGGGAGCGCTGGACGTGGGCCAGCGGGCAAGAGAGCTCCAAACAAGACCGGCCGGAGTGACACGGAGTCCTGTTAAAAGCGCAAACGATGACTCCCTCTTCCTCCTTCCTCGGATTTAGATGCGCGCTTTTTCTGCGGAGAGAAGAAAAAAAAAGATTGTTTAACTTCCCTTTCCAAAGTCCCTGCCAAAGAAGCGTGGGCATGAGGTGGCCTGAAGCCAGTGGCACCCTGTGGGTGCAGGGGGGGGGGGGAGCTGCACAGTGTGTGTGATCAGCTGTGAGTAAGTGGCTGAAATAAGATGATGTGTAAAAAAACACCAGAGGAGGTCCGTGCAAGATCACGGGTCAGATTACCGGCATCGGTGGCTCAGCTCTGCCTGCGCATGTAGCACCGGGCCAGCGCCAAAGTCTCAGATGCTCTCCAAGCTATAGCGCATGTACAATGACAGACTGGCCTCATGGAAAAATTATTCTAGTCAGTTACCGTGGTTACAAAGGATGTGGAGAGCTGATGAAGAGGAGTAGACAGTCTGTACATAAAAAAATCAGAGATCTTGGAAACCTTTTAGGAGTTCATAAAGCTATTTTTAATGCGTGTGGGTTGTTTTTTTCCACAGGCAATAAGAGGATCTTTCTTAGGACGGCCTGTAGCCAAACTCGATTTGTGTTTAAACGACTCTTTGTACAAACCTGACTGTAGTTTGGTTAGATTTAGGAAAACATAAAAGTCTAAAACACTTATCTCATCGTTTTATTTGTTAGTTCCCCCATTATGTCGGGCACAGCGGAGAACAAACATCTACAGTTTGCATGTATTTGTCTCACTGAAGGGCCTCTGCTTACACCTAAAACTGAAATTCAACAGATGTGTGGATATCAGTGAACAAATTCTCTAAGGACACGCTTTTAGTACTTCCTTTTGTCAGAATTGACTTATGATGTTTGATCTCTCACAAGCCAAAATCCGTGTCTTACAACTATCTAGCCTTATGATTTAGTCTGCACTCAGACATAGTCACGCATAAGGGAGGGTTTTCTGTCAAACTGGATGCCTGGAAACACTGGATGTTACTTCCAAAGACATATTGGAGCAATTGTCCTGCACTTTGACAAATTAAGTCAAATTCTATTTCAATATATCCAACGGGTTTCTCACAACATCGACCATAAGGTCTTAAATGGGGGAAACCTAAAGAAAAAATCTAAAACAAACTGAGGTTAATTACACAGAAACATTCGACTGAAGGCAAATGCGCTCGGAGGTCGAGCAGGTCTGCGCTTTTTTCTTGCCTTCAGAGAATTTAATCTTGTGTTGATCTTAATTTTTTTGAGGACTTGCTCACACGATGAGTAACACATGTTGAACATTCCTTCTGTGTGCAGAGCCAGAATCATTTCAGAGTCCTGTACACAGCGCACAGCAGGCGTGCAGGGTGTGTCACAACAGGACTCACCGAGACGTCACGGAAAACCACGCAGAGTTTCACCCAACCCTCGGCCCGGGTTGGAATCGTCTTGAAAGGGAGCCACTTCTTTTCAGACGGAGGTTTGACAAGGAAATGATCCGAGTGAATAGAAAAACTCACATCCCGTCATATCTATCAATGTGTTGAATGTCTTTTTTTTTTCTTTTCCAGAGGTGGTGAGTCAGCAGAGGCCTGGACTGCCTGTGCTGACTTGTGACTGACGCACGCTGTAAAAAGCCGTCAGAATGACATTTTCCAGCGCTGTGCCAGATTTACACTGCACTGTGTATTCCAAAAGATATACTGGAATGTTATTCTTTTCCTCTTTTTTTTTTTTAAACCTCTTCTTCGTTTCAGGAATAGCAGATCAGAGCTGGGTTTACTGGGAATCTATCGATCCCCGATTCAGCATTTACAACATTGATCTTGCCTTTCCAAAACAGTATTCTTTTTTGTAAAATCCAAGTTTAATCACGTCAATAAATAGCGGCTGATTAATATTCCTACATACAAAGGTTTCCACATGCAATTGAGAATGCAAATAAGAGTGTGTTAAAATAAATGTTACTCCAAAAAAATACAAAAATTAAGTTTCGCTAACACATTTAAACGATACAATACACATCATAACCTCTTAACCTTTGGATTATCCCCACTTTTCATATCAGAGTTTAACATGCGTACATAAACGAAGATTCCTCTCCTGAGCTAAACCCCGCTAACTGTACCTTATCTGAACTGTCAGCCTAAAGGTCCTTTTGATTTACAAAGGCTCCACTCTGAGAACGTCCTTGATCATTGTTCATCCAAGACAGACAGTTCCTCCAATCCCCAACGTAGAACTTTGGACCACCTGGCATTTTTTTGCCGTTTTATAAATTCTAAAATTCAGTACAAGCACCATAAAAAAGTTAAGGTTACATTGATTTTTTTGCCTACATGACTTATGATGAAACTACTGTTGCACAAGGTCTTGCATATTTTACTTAGAGAATATGTTTTGGAAAGCGTTACAATTAAGTTGAAAGGGGAGATCTGAGTGCTTTCCTTGGTGCAGACAACCAAGTTAGCACAGTCAGTTCACATTGAGGGAATAATGGCTGCACATGCGAAGCAAATGCAAATAAAAGGGCCAAAGATTTCCTCTGTGATGGTCAGCCTTTTTCAAATTCAAAACCAG